TGTCTGGTTAGCACGCAAAACAATACTTTTCACTGTATCATGGTAAATGTGGCAATAATTAAACAAATCAAAATCAAAAACTCTAATCAGAGGCAGGGACATTACCAATAAGATTGAGCCTGATAAATGATCATATTTTGCTGCAACCAATAAGGATTGCCCGCTCTCAATTAACTCAGTGCCTCCTAGTGACCCTTTGAGGAATCTGCCTTAATAACCCAGAGAGGGGTCACAGATATGATGGGCCGAATGGCATCCTCCCATTTTATTTTGTTGTAATCCTGGGAGCTGGATACCATTCCTGATGCTTGGACCCACAAGCAGCAGACTGCTTGACCAAGAGGCCACTCATTCTCCAGTGACAGCGGGATGTGTGTGCCCCATTGGAGGGCCCTGACACACTCGCGCACATACACACGCGTGCACGCACACATGCGCACACATACACGCACTCACACACACGCGCACTCACACACACACACAGTCTCTCACTCACACACACACAGACACACACTCTCTCTCTCTCTCTCTCTCACTGACTCACATACACACACACAGAAATGCACACACACACATCACCGCATACACAGACTCACGCACACACAGACACACTGTCTCTCTCTCTCACACTCACACAAACGCGGACACACACACACACACACACACACAGATTCTCTCTCTCACACACATGGTCTGTCTCTCTGTCTCTCTCACACAAACACACACACGCACACACACACAAACACAGACACTTGCACACGCGCACACCCACACAGACTCTCGCACATGCGCGCACACAAACACAAAAACACAGTCTCTTTCTCACTCACACGCACAGAAACACACCGTCTCTTTCACTCAAACACACACAGAAACACTGTCTCTCTCTCACTCAATCACACACAGAGAAATGCTATCACTCGCACATACACACACACAAACACGCACACACACACATAGAAAACCCACATGCACACATACCCACACACACACACCACACACACGCACCATGTGCACACACATTCACATCACCCGCATACACACTCTCGCACACATGCACACACACACAGACTCTAGCACATGCACACCCTTGTCTCTCTCACTCACTCACACACACAGACACATGCTGTCTCTCTCTCTCTCACACACACACACACACACACACACAGACACACTGTCTCTCTCTCTCATCCATACACACACACACACAGTCTCTCTCTCTCTCTCTCACACCCACTCACACACAGACACACACTGTCTGTCTCTCTCTCACACACACACACACAGACACACACGGGCACAGACACACACACAGACACACAGACACACACACACAGACAGACAGACACAGACAGACAGACAGACACACAGGCACAGACACAGACACACACACACACACACA